GTCGACTAAGCACAAGCTGATCCCACCACACCACAGCGTAATCAGTAAATTCCACCGCTGCTAGTTTCACCTTTTTCTCCTCAGAATAGTTATGGCAATCAAACACCAATTCCACCTTCTTCTCCCACTCCAAATACACATCTGGATCATTTTTCCCTTGAAACGGAGGAATCTTCATCTTGATGCTGCCTAAGTCTTGATCTTGCCGATCTCCCCACCTTGCCAGATTTTGGTCTCCTTTGTTAAATCTATGTCTTTGACCCCCTCTACCTCTCATAAATCTGTCCATGCTGAAATTTGAGTTCTGGGCATCATCGTTGAATGCGTCTTCATCATTGTCATCAAGATCGTGATTATGCAAATTTGGACTTCCATTCTGTATTTGGTATAACTTGGCAATGGCTGCATCTTTCTTCTCCATTTTGTCTTTAATTTCACCAAACATGATGTCTAGCCTCTGAAATTATTGTTGCATAGCTTTGAGCATGAAGGAATCATCCACTTGGTGTTTGTTTTCTGTCATCACCGCTTGACATGATTGAAACCTGCAAGGAATGTTAGAAACAAAAAATAAAAGGACCTCTCAACACTCCCTTACGTGTTTCACTCCACTCTCTCACAAAATGGCACTCAACGCTCGTGTTTTGCACACTATAGAACTTGGCTTTTCTCTCAAGTATTGCTCACACCTCTTGCCTTTTTCCCTCACTCAACTTTCCACTTTCAGTTCGTTATTGAACTAAACAAGCTCAATTCAAGTTATTTTGCAGCAATCTAACTCCAACAAATCTGCAAGAGTTAAAGGAAACAGAAAGACACAAAGGAACGACCAAGAAAAGTAATAAAAGAACCAACCCAAACAAATTAAAATGAACAGATCAGTTCAAGCACTTCCTAGTAGGAATTGACTTGACTATTCCTTAATGTAGCAGGATTCCTAACGTAGGAAGGAATAAACAAAATTGCTATCTCCTTGTTTGAATAGAATTCAAAGAAAATTTTCCAACTCCTTATTGTAGTGGAATTTCTATTCCTTAATGTAGTAGGATTTCTAACTTAGGAAGGAATAAACAAAATTGCTATTTCCTTGTTTCAACAGAATTCAAAGAAAATTTCCAACTCCTTATTGTAGTAGAATTCCTTCTTCCAACTTTTTACTGGAGTAGGATTCCCTCTTCTTTAAGGATTTGACCATCAATTTCTTCTCTATATAAAGAATTCCAACCACAGAATTGTGTTGCTTGTTTCTCTCTCCTTTTTTTTTTCTCGGTTTTTATTTTTTTATTTTTTTTATTTTTTTGCGATTCTTCCTTTTGTTTTTTTTTTTCTACGACTTCTCTCTGATTACTTTTTTTCGTGCTTTTCTCTCTTGGATTTTTTTTTCTCTTCAGAACCAGCAACACAGATTCAACAGAACAAGATGAAAAGAGTTGCAGACAAGAAATAAAAGAACCCTAATTTTTTTTTTTGATGTAAAAACCGAAAACTAAAGATACGCAAACCTGATTTAGAGATCTGATGCTCTAATACCAAGATGATGAGAACCCCAAAGAGAACAATGAGACCCACAGCAC